AATAGTGGGGAAAAAAGTGAAAAATGACGACAATTTACGAGCTCACAGTTACGAATGTAAGAAGGCATCTTGAGGATAGAGAATTAACTTTTACTGGAAAAAAGGCTGAGTTAGTCCAAAGACTAAAGAATGCTTTGGAGGAAGAGGGTTTAGATCCGGAAATTTATATTTTTGAAGATGCTGTCATCGCGTCGATTTCTAAATTAGAGAACAAAGTTTCCGGCGACATCGCTTCTTTAGAAGACAATGTTTCTAACGAGATTTCTTCTCTTGAAACAAAGTTTCTACTAATATCTTCCTGAAAATCTCTAAAGTCACTTCTGAGATGTCTGCCCTCGACGATAGATGGTCTTCGTTAAAAACCCAAGTTGCTACCGATATGTTGGCCTTCGAAGAAAAGATGAAGGCAATGGAAAAGAAGATTGAGGAAACAGGGACAGCAGAGACAGGAAACAATCCAATTACAGCAGAGACAAAAGAAGACGAGACGAAATGTAAGTTGCAAACACGGCCGAAATTTGAAGGAAGTGGAGGTTCTGTTTATGTCAAAGTCCCAACTTTCGACGGAAAATCGTCATGGAACAACTACATGAAACAGTTCGAATCAGCTGCAAGAGCGAATGGATGGTCTGAAAAAGAAAAGGCTGTAAACCTGACTATCGCTCTTCGAGGAGATGCCTTAGATGTGCTTCAGACCATAGCCGTAGAGGAGACGGATGATTTCGAACAACTCAAGAAAAGGTTAAATATGCGATATGACCACGAACATTTGGAGCATGTATATCAGTCGCAGCTTAAAAATCGAAGACAAAAGAAAGATGAGGCTCTTCAAGAATAAGAGGTAGATATTGTCAGATTAGTACGATATGTTTATCTAACAGCTCCCGAACACATGATGGAAAAGTTGGTCGTTGAAACGTTTATTGATGGTCTTCGTAATCATGAAATGCAGAGAACACTGCGATTAGCTCGTCACAAGGCGCTGGTTGATGTCTTATCCGCCGCCCTTGAATACGAGTCAGCTACGCAGGCCTCTGGTGGGTACAGTAAAGTTAGGACTGTAAAAGAGGAAGATGAAGATAAACTTGACCAGCTCGTTAATATGATAAAAAGCATGACACACAAGAAAACAAAGACCGAAGACAAAACCAGAACGGGTCAGCCTTAGGGAGGCAGCTTCGACCCAGAACTTTTCCAAAGACCCTCTCATACTAATAGCTTCTTTGAAATTTCGTGAAGATAGTGTATATGTAGATGGAGAATAAATGGTAAAAAGCATACGTTGTTGGTGGATACTGGAGCGACCAGAACCATTATACGCCCGACAGTTATAAACAGCCGTAAGAAACTGTTACCAACGAGGTTGCGACTTCGGACCGCTACGGGTGAAAATGCCAACATTCACGGAGAAATCCAGATACAATTAGGAATTGGAGCAGAAAAGTTCGTCCATACTGTTATAGTTGCTGACATCGAAGAGGATGTTATATTAGGAATGGACGTAATGAATACGCATGGATTCCAATTGGATTTTAAGAATAAGGTAATCAAAGTTGGTAACGAGGAGGTATTTCTCCATCCACATGATGACAATACTATGCAAGCAGCCGTTAAAGAAGATACAGTCGTGCCTGCGAGAAGTGAAACGATAATAGTAGCGCGCCTACAGGGAATTGTGGACGAAGAGACACCTGTTATGATGGAGCCTTTTAACTATGACGAGGAAGTCGGCCGTGGAATCATAATTGGAAAGGAATTGGTTCTTTAACTTCGGCTAAAGGAATTCCTGTGAGACTTATCAATGTCAATGACTACCATCAAGAAAGAGACAAAAGTAGGAACTTGTGTACCTGTGACATCCATAATCCGTCAGACGACAACGTCTGATAATTCCAACGACAAATTTGACCAAATGATTGCAGTTGCTGGTCAGTCTCTGAATCAGATTGAGAAAAGGGAATTAAGGGAATTTCTTCAGCACTATCGTGATATTTTCGTACCGAAAGGAGGAAAGACGGGAAGAACTACCGTTGTTAAGCATAAAATTGATACTGGTAATGCTAAGCCAATTCGTCAAACAGCTCGACAATTATCACAGGCGAAAAGAGAGGAAGCTGAAACGATTGTTCAGGAAATGAAGAAAGACGGGATAATAGAACCTTCAACAAGCCCATGGGTCTCTCCGGTGGTCCTGGTTAAGAAGAAAGACGGAACAACGAGGTTCTGTGTGGATTACCGTTTGCTGAACAACGTTACCGAGAAAGATAGTTATCCTCTGCCTCGGATCGATGACACATTGGACACATTGGCTGGAAGTAAATTATTTTCTAATTTGGATTTGAAGTCTGGATACTGGCAGGTAGAAATGGACCCGGTAGATAAAGAAAAGACAACCTTCACCACAGGATCGGGATTATGGCAATTCAACGTTATGTCACTTGGACTCTGTAATGCTCCTGGGACATTTGAGAGGCTTATGGAAAATGTGTTGAGAGGGTTATCTTGGAAAACATGCCTAGTTTATCTAGATGATATAATCGTCTTGTGGGAGACATTTGAAGATCATTTGAGGAATTTAGAAAACGTTTTTAATCGACTTAAAGCTGCCCAATTGATGCTAAACCCCAAAAAGTGCCAGCTATTTCAAGGTAAAGTCAATTATCTAGGTCATATAGTCAGTAAAGAAGGAGTGGCCGTGGATAAGGTAAAAATTGATTCCATTAAGGAATGGCCAAAACCAACTGACAAACATCAAGTGAGAAGTTTTCATGGACTATGTACTTATTACCGCACTACTCATTTATATGTTAAAACAGCATTTCTAAATAAATGGTCATTTGAAAGAGAAAATATACATGCAATCATCAGAGGGTTTTGATTTAGCAGGTAACAAATTTTTAAAATGAAATAAGGCTTTTTATGGGCTTAAACAGTCTTCTACGACCTGGAATTATGAAGTAAATAATGTTTTGGAAAATAATAATTATAAGAAATCAAAACATGAACCTTGTATCTATATAAAAAGAGAAAATAATAAAATTACGGTCATAGCAGTATATGTATATGATTTTTTTTTCAAATGATGAAACTGAAACAAGTAGACTAAAAAATGAGGTGAAAAGTAAATTTGTTATTAAAGATTTGGGTATAATTAAGGAATGTTTGCAGAATTAAGAGAACTAAGAATGTTAGAATTAAGGAATTAATGCAGGCTAAACTAAGTGAGGGTAGCCAAATATGGCGAAAATTTCACCGACCGATTGCAGGTATAAGCAATCCCACACTTGCTAATCAACGGCTCTGGGCGGAAGAATTGGTAGGTGGTAGGGCACCCTTTTGTCCTGGAGTTGAGAAATCGATCTCGAAGGTGGAGGAACCAATATATTGGTCAACAGCATAAGGATGTAGAAGGCAATGGGAAACCACTACATTAAAGATCCCCATGGATATCCCTAGTACAATCGTAATGATTTTAGAAACTAATAACAGCGATATTCCTCGTCAAAAGAACGTAGATGAAAAAATAAGACTGTCCAACACTAGAATAGGAAGAATAGGAACCTGGAATGTTCAGAGCACGTTTCAGTCTGGTAAAATGCACAATGTTATTCAAGAAATGAACAGGTTGAATATCGATGTACTGGATATCAGTGAAGCCAGGTGGCCCAATTCAGGTTGTTTTTCAACAGACGAAGCCACAATATATTATTCCGGTAGCGAGAATAACGAACACAGACACGGTGTGGCAGTAATAGTTAATAAAAAAATCTAATAGAGCGGTGGAATGCTATTTCCCTATCTCAGAAAAGGTAATGGTACTTAATTTAGTGAAATTTCATGCCAGCCTGAATTCGATACAAGTTTATGCTCCTACAGCGAATGCCGACGAAGAAGAAGTAGAATCATTTTAGAGAGATATCGAAAAGGCACTTAGAATAACGAAAACAAGAGAAATCACGAGTCCTAGGTGATCTCAATCACCTAGTGACTGTTACCAAACAGACGACTGTATACATGACGATCGCCCGCAGATACATCTTAGAAAGTAGTCAGGAACCAGATAGACTACATTGTGATCAATGAAAGATACCGTAATGCTGTTAAAGCCGTGAGACCATATCCTGGATCAGACGTGGCCTCAGATCACAATCCACTTGATGAGAAGCATATTGATGTTTTAGTGACACTCTTGAACCAAATTTATAGTTCAGGCGTATTACCCAAGAGTGGTTAACATCGATTTTTATTTGTATCCCTAAAAAGAAAAACGCAAGAGAATGCAGCGATTACCGCACCATTAGATTGATGTCTCATATGCTAAAGTTACTACTTAAAGTCATCCATAACCGAATATATCACAAACTGGACATAGACGTTAATGATACACAATTTGGTTTTTCGCAAAGACATAGGACCGCTTGAAGCTCTTTTTTCAGTTAATATACTGATACAAAGATGCCTGGACGTCAATCAAGATATAAACGCATGTTTTATTGACTATTATAAAGCATTCGATAAAGTATGACATAAACAAGTAATGAATGTCCTGAAATCAAAGAATATTGACTACAACAACCTCAGGATCATATCAAATTTATACTATAAACAGCGAGCAAAAGTACGTGTTGACGAACAGAGGTCAACACGTTACATTCAGGAGATCAAAATAAGAATAGAAAAGGCTAGAGCAAATTTCAACAAAATGAGAAGAGTGCTATGTACAAGGAATTTAAAATTGGAACTAAGAGTTAGGTTAGCGAGGTGCTATGTTTTTTCGACTTAGTTGTATGGAATGGAATCTTGGACCTTGAATGCGACATCAATGAAAAAACTGGAATCATGGCTGCGCAACTTGAGAAAGTGGTACGGATGTACATCAAATGAACTTTTCAAAGCAGCCGTCTCAAAAGTCCGAATAGCTATAATGATTGCCGACCTCCGCCGCGGAGATGACACTTGAAGAAGAAGGAATGTTTGGGTGTGCAAATAGACTTTAATCCAAATAAATGTTATATTGCTTTGACAAACAAGTAAATCAGTTGTTAAAGAGATGAAGTCAGAACATGAGTGATGCCAAATGAGTTAAAATTGTAATTAAACCAAAGTTATCTTTAATATTTGATGATAGTAACAATTATATTAGAGATAATTTTCCTTATCAGATGCTAATTGGCATTTTGATGTATTTATCTGTTTTACCCAGACCAGATATATTATTTACAGTCAGCTTCTTGGGTCAATTTAACAATAAGTCTCATTGAAAATTTGCAAAAAGGTCAATGGTCTCAATGAAGGTATTTATAAGACACCATTAATTATTCTCTGATTTACTCAAAAGATGATTCAGAATTGCAAAGTTTTGTAGATGCCGATTGGACAAGCAATATATAGATCGTAGATCCTTTACTAGATATGTATTTAAGCTTTGTGGCTCTGCAATATCTTGCCAAAGTGCAAAGTTTACTTTGTTTATAATTGAGAATATTGTATGACAATATTTATCATAATTTTCTTGGGCGAAAAAATATATTTTTAAATTATTCGGTTTAAAAAAGTAAAAAAAAAACTTACGTTTGGTTCTTCATCGTCTTCTTCGTCTTTAAATAATTCCTCCGCTCCAAATTTTAAAATCGCCGTCAGATCTTCTTTGTTAAACGGATTATTATTAGAAGATCCCTTTTTGTCCAAAACAGTTCTTCCCGTCGTGTCCATTCTCTGAATTACAAGATGGTCCAGCACCATTTTTTGTTTTGCCCTTTCTACGATTTCTTCTTCTACAGACCTTGCAGTAACTAACCTAAAGTAAAAAATACGTATTTTAGTTTCTCACAAAGAAAGTTGTATGTAAAAAGTTTATTTATATTTATAATATAAATATTTATCGCAGTAATCGTTTGATATCCAAAAGAGAAAGGACCTAAAATGACCTTTTAAAATTAAATAATGAAAGAACAAGCTAGAAATAGTAAAGTTAAAAAAACACGAATAAGGCACATTCTTCTGAAAACAAAATAAATCAGTCCCAACTAAATTATTATACATTCTAGAGAAAAATGTTTGTTGTGTTATTTGTTTTTTCACTTCTCTATCTTTTTCTCCATATTCTTTATAAACTTCGTTGTTTGTAGTCAGCCATTTTCTGTATAGTTGTTTTTTTTTTCTTCAATTATTCTTTTTGTTGGTCCATTTATTTCATAATAATACTGTTTATTTGTTATATGTTCTTTTTCTCTAAGAGCTTCGAATGCTGCTTGTTTTATACTCGCCTTTATATGCTCGTATATATATATATATATATATATATATATATATATATATATATATATATATATATATATATATATATATATATAGATTTTAGATACGGCAACATCGAAGAAACGACTTTATAAACTCGCCTTTATATGCTCGTATATAAAGGCGAGTTTATAAAGTCGTTTCTTCGATGTTGCCGTATCTAAATTCTATTAATTTTTGGTCTAGACGTTGTTGGTATAGTTGTAGACTCTTATTGATTGTTCTTGGAGTAGCTCTATATTGTATTGTTTTTCTCTTATAGTGTTCAACGGTTCTTCTGTAGAGTGGGTCTTGTTATGTTTCCAATTAATCCCCATTTTTGCTGTCAGTAGATTATGGTCCGTTCCACATTCTGCTCCTCTTCTGACTCGTACATCTTTGATCTATAGTTCTACAATTTTCTATAATTGTAAAGGACCTGCTAAAAATAATATAAAAGTGGGTGAAACAGTCAGCCTTTGACAAATTACTAGAACGCGTCATCTGATAACCCACTTCATAATCCATCAAATAGAACCCCAAATGAGACTCAAAAATTTGTTTAAATCTTTCTCCATTCAAGAAACAAAACATGCAATTTATTGAGTCTCACATTATAAAGATACCCGATAACATTCACTGTAGATATCCAAATAACTCAAAGAAATCCTCTACCTCTCTAGAAAATAAACAACATTGTTGTAACTTAATAGTCTGACAATATCGTAATTACCCCTATTTTTTATTGTATTACTCGTATATTTAGTCTTAAAATTTATTTTATCTATACCAATTCTGTAAATTGGCTAAGACTTCGTTTGATGACCTTTTGGTACATAGTATCAATAATAAAGTATATTTCTCTCTCTCTCTCTTTCTCTATGTTTATCGCCGATGTACTGATATCAATGCATGAAGTTTGTATTTAATACTATAATAATTATCTAAATTTAAAAACAAATAAAGACGTAATGCATTTTTATGCTTACCTATAAATGTTGACTTGATTCTTTTGACCGATCCTATGGGCTCTTGCCTGTGCTTGAAGATCGTTTTGAGGATTCCAGTCCGAATCAAAAATTATCACAGTATCAGCAGTAGCTAAGTTAATTCCCAACCCACCGGCGCGAGTTGAAAGAAGAAAGCAAAAATCTTGAGACCCTTCAGCATTGAAATGATCTAAGGCTTGCCGTCGAAGCTCTCCCTTGATGCCACCATCTAACCTCTGAAACGGGAAATGTCGAAGCTGCAAATATTCGGCAAGAATGTCCAACATGCGAACCATCTGCGAGAAGATTAGTACTCTATGGCCAGTATTGCGCAGACGGATCAACAATTTGTCCAGAAGCACTAATTTTCCCGAACCTCTCAGTAGTTGTTGCAGTACATCTTGTTGATTGTATTGTGCTTCAGCCTCTGGGGGCTTTGTCAAAGAAGAATGGTTGCAACATTTCTTGAGCTCTATCACAATATTTAAGAAGGTTGTTGTGGATCCTTTAACTCCTCTTCTCAAGGCATTATAATTTTTTGTTAATATCCACTTATAGTATTGTTTCTGAATAGATGTCATCTCTACCCTAAGAATTTGTTCTACTTTAGCGGGAAGAGACTTCTCTACATCTTTTTTTACACGTCTTAAGATAAACGGTTCAAGTTGTTTGTGGAGTTTGGTATAGTTGGTGGATGCATTTTCGTGTTCTCTTTTAAATTCTTCCCATGTTTCAAACCTAAAATTAAACAATGCCAATGTTAAAGTTATATTCGATAAATTTCAATATATTGTAATGTCATCTAAATAAAACTACTTACTTAGCGGGCATGATAAAATGTAGCAATGCCCAAAGTTCTTTTAAACTATTTTGTAGGGGAGTGCCAGTAATAAGTAGCCTGTGATTGGTGTTAAATTCCATTAAAGCTTTGTACAATAAAGAATCATCATTTTTCAACCTGTAGAATGTAAAAGATTACTACTTTAAAGAAATTACTGAAAAGTTTACGTAAAAATTAATTTTTAGTCACCAAATCGTTCTTTTAGATACGCCATATGTGTTACATATAACATATTTTAATGCAGTTTTAAATTATGTTCTTACTTTAGTTTATTAAAAATTGTGTTATAATACTATAATGACTCATATATTTACCTGTGAGCTTCATCTACTAGTAATACAGCCCAGCTTAGACTTCCCAGAAATGCTTTATCCTTCAAAACTATTTCATAAGTTGTGAGAATTGCATTAAATTTTAGCCTTTTTGACCCTTCAAAGCACCATTCATATTGGCGAATCTACAACAAATATAATGATATAATAAATATTATAATAAAACCAATATATAGTAGGTTATAGTTTCAAAAGCATAGACTACGGTGGGGTCTGCAACGAGAAACAATATACAATGGTGGCGTATTAATTTATTTTATTCGGAGAAATCATTCTAAGAATTCACCCGTGAGAAAAATTATGAATGTATTACTTTCGAATAGATAATGGTAACATTTATCATACTAAAGTTAGTCAGTCGCCATTTTTATATTATCAAAGTCCTTTATCTTATTATTCAATTAAATCCAAGATACAAACTTAAAATTACACACGCTTACGCACCAACTACGAGCCACTCTTCAGATGAGGAAGTTGATCAAGTTTATAAAGATATCAGAGCAGCTATACAAACTACAGAAACCCATTATACAATGATAATTGGAGATTTCAACAACAAATTGAGATTCAAACAAGATGAGGCAGAACCCGTTATGGGAAATTTTGGATTTGGATAAATGAGAGAGGTAAAGTATTTTTTCGCTGCAAAAATTTAATGACTATAGTCTTCGCTGGCACGCAGATGACAAAAATGTTTTTTGCCGATAGTAGTCTTCGTACTATCCGTTGCAAGATAATTCGGATGGAATTCTCTAGATTAAGAGACTGGGCCGATATCAAGCACAAAATGACTGTACTCCCTTAATGCTGTAACGGATAATCACCCTTAGTCTTTCGTTACATTAGGTTAAATTTTAAATTCTATCCAAAGTATAAAGGTACTTTACTAAATGATACAAAGTAGGTGTAGGTAAATACTAGGTACGTAGGTAAAATGTAGGTACCAAACTATTGGTAAATAAAATTTTAAGCATAATTTTGTGTACCTATTTAAATTTAATCAGTTAATTGCATTTGTACTTGGAATTCAGAATTACAAATTTCTAGGTACGTAAAGCCAGTTTTTATAAGATATTAGACAGTTTCTTGGAATTTTATTCAGATAAAAGAATAATGTTTACTTAATATCAAATTATCACTAAATGGGCTTCTGTGAGAAAAATGTTTATTTGAAAAGAACTTCATTTTTCCTTTGTAGTTCATTTAGAACAGAAGTCAGTGTAATAACTAAAAATATGAGTGATATAGAAATGATTAGTGACGATGTCCTGTACATTCCTACCACTATTTCAGGAAGTGAAGACGAGTCTGAACCTGAAAAACACTCTGGTTATATTTATTTCACACACGATGCAAAGCAAATCGTGCTTAACGTTTACAAAGGTAAGTACTCGTTAAAAATAGTCTTTAGTTACCCTTCCTAATACCGGGTGAATTTTAAAACGACCAGTACCAAGTGGGGCAACTTATCGCCCCAGTAGTTTGGTTCACTTTTAAACACAAGGATTGTATGTGTCTCATTATTCTTACCATTTTTTTAAACTCTTTATTGTCTGTATACTTTGTTTGGTACCAATTCAACAAATTAAAAATCAAAAACAGAAGACAGTCACATTCAGAAACTCGCCAAATAAACAGGTAATTTTAGCAGTTATCAGATATGAGACATAATTGCACTTTGCAAATTCTTAGAGAGACAATCCCAACTAGAAAGTGATGCTTCGAAGAATCTAGACAAGAATATGCAAGGGGAATTATAAAAGTTCCCACTAAGGAATAGCAAGAACGGAATTTCAAAGATAAAGGAAACACATTACAATCAACTGCTAATAAGTAAAGAATGCGACTGCACATCATGGAAACTAATTAGTATAGTCATTATTAACCATTTCCAAAACTTTCGTCTAAACTAATAAAATCAGAATTATGGAATCCAGCCGTTTAATAAGTGGAGGTTCGATTATTTGGAGAGTCTAAGATCTTTTAGGAGTGAAGGGAAGGTATTATTATTGTATTATTTGGATGAAACTTGTTTTGACACCCACGATATAGTGATATAGTAATGTTGCTCCCTGTAGAGAGAAGAGAATTTGTATTTTACATTGTGAGGGAGAATCAGAATGGGTAGAAGGTGCTTTATTACTCTTTGAGAAGAGTGTAAGTGATTGTCGCTTAGATTATCATCAAGATATGGACAGTACTTTGTTTAAACAGTGGTTTGAGCAGCAATTACTACCTAAATTAAAAAGAAATAACGTTATTATTTTGGATAATGCTCCGTATGATTGTAAGCTAGAGAATAAAATTCTAAACACTAATTCAAACAAAGCTGAAATTCAAGAATATGAGTAGCTGAGAATTATGGCCATAAAGTATTAAGATTACCTAATTACTATTGTGTACTGAATCCAATAGAATTGTGGTCTCAATTAAAAAGTAATCCGAGGAAAAATAATAATTCTCCTAAATCATTCTACTATTGTAGATTTAATTAAGACCGAATATAATAATATTACAGCAGATAATTGGAAAAAATCTATAGAGCATGTCAAAAAACTAGAAGAAAAATACTGACAGTTCCAAAACATTATAAATAGAGTAGTTATAGATTTAAATGATAGCGATGATAGTGATACCGATTTAAATGTAGACGATAGTTAAGTTTTTAGTTTAGATAGTTAAGATTTTTTTTTTTTTTTGTATTTTTTCACTATGTTAAATATATATTTTAATATAAAAGTATTACTATATGTATTTTTCTCTAACTTTGTGGGATTGACGTAATTTTGATAAAATGTATCAGTATATAAGTCTGACCCTGTATACAACTATACAGGGTCGGACTATAGTTCAATTTCATAAATATACCTCTAAAATAAATATAATTTGATAAATATAGCACTTCCAGTCTACCAGACAATAACATCAATTAACTTTCTCTTAATAACAACAATACAGAGCGTCCAGACTGTCTACTCAAGAAACATCCCACAAGGGGTACTATTTATATACTTCCTCAAACCATGAAATATTGGCACTTTTTGCAACAATCCTGATAAAACTCTTAGTTACGATATGTAATTGTTAAGTCATTTTAATTTAACTTGTCTGGAGACCTGAAGATGACTAGAAAATTGTAGTGGTCGAAACTGGTCGTCTTAAGCTAAATAAAATACAGTGTTATTACTTTTTAAATGGGAATAAGCCACAATTAAAGGTTAAAGTAAGTTTATTGACGTTTCAATGTCCACTTCGGAAATCGTTCTCAAACTACAAACACTAGTAAATTTACTAATGTTGTGGCTTATTCCCATTTAAATAGTTATAACTTTAAAATGCCACAATAAAATAGCTTCAGAACAATATTAAAAATATATTGTGATTAAGTCTAAAATTTATTTCTACAACTCTGTTTGAAATGAACTAACATGTGCACCCAATTTATTCTTTGGGTGAATAATAATTTAATTTGTATTTAAATGAATATACTCAGGAATTTTGTTATTGAAGACGAGCAATAGTTTTATACAATTTAAAATATCTTACCGTTTCCCTGGACTGAACATCTCCCAAGTACGTAACAAAGTTCAAATCGGGTGCCCACTGTGTAAATTCCCTCTGCCACGACGTCATTGTAGAAAGGGGCACAACACACAAAAATGGTCCGTGGAGGTGGTGCGTATTGAAGAGATAGTATAGAAAGCAAATTGTCTGAACAAAAAAGTATATCCATTAGAAAATCTAAAACACGAAACTTGTATATAGTTTAATAATTTTACCTGAATCGTTTTACCGAGCCCCATCTCATCTGCTAATATAACAGAGTTTTCTTTTGACCAGGAATGTATCATCCAGTTGAGACCATGTATTTGATAATCACGCAGTATTAAAGTCTATAAATTAAAATCATTATAACTTATCAAGTATATAGAACACTTAGAAGAACTATATATTACATCTCATAATAAACATTAAACCTTTAAATTGTAGTTGTTTTCGTTACCTTTTCTTTGCCCATCATATATTCGGGTTGGGTCTTAACTTCATGGAATTTGGGTCTATGTTTAAGTACTTTACAGTGTCTCGTTGGAGTCATACTTGACTGCTCCCTAGCTTCGAATTCATTTATTTCTTCAGGCCATTTTCGTTGAATTAGAACTGAATCTTCCCATGTAGATTCAGCGTATGGAAGACTTTGCCATTTAATATAATAATCTTTACCTCCATCAGGCTTATTGTATTTTGCTGAAATGTTTTTAAAAGTAAATTATGTGCAATATCGAAAATAAAGAAAGAGATTACCAAGCACTTTTCCGGTTTAAATTAATTATATGGGGACATCTTTAACATTAAAGGGACTTATTTTCGAGACTTACTAAATTACTTGATGGGTATCTCTCTAAACAGAGGGAACAAACAAGCAGATCATTTTTTTCATTTAGGGCAGGGGTTTACAAACGGGGGGGCGCGAGAATATGTCAAGAGGGGCGCGAGGACATGTCAGGAGGGATGCGAGACAAGTCGAAAATTAAATTAAATTTAGGTAGTCTTTCTAAAGTTCTAAATTAACCATAACGTTTAGAAAATACAAACCACTGTAACATCTGACTTGTAACAACGAGCGTTTCCAAGCACTGCCTCCCTCCTTCCCTCCCTCCTCAGGCGCAAGCCAGCTAACCGCAGCTAATCAATTGTGACAGTGTTTGAGATACCTCGGTCTAGCTTGGACGTATTTTTGCATTATAAAAGCGTAAGTGTTGTAAAATTTTAATATGATTATATCAAATATGGGTTTATTTGTATGCGTAAAGATAATGACCAACATCCTCAGTGTGTAATCTTAATCTGTGTGTAAGTTCTACGGCTCAGTCATCTGAAAAAGTGATTGAAGCTATCACTTATGATTGCTAAAGAAAAGAAGAACCATATTATTGGAGAGACGCTTGTTAAAGGCAGCTGATATTATTCTTGGAACGCAGAGTAAGAAAAAGTTACCTCAAATACCTCTTTCTGACTATACTGTGAAACGTCGCATTAATAATATGGCCGAAGATATACAAAAACCAGGTAGTTGCTGCAGTAAAACAATCACGATTTTTTGCCATTCAGCTAGACGAGAGTACAGACATAGCACAATGTTCTCAGTTAATTGTTTATGTTCGGTATATTGAAAACGAAAGAATAAAAGACGAGCCACTCTTTTCTCAAGAGTTGGAGGCCACGACAAAAGATATTGATGTTATTTTTTGACAAACATGAACTCTCTTTTCAAAAACTGATCGGTGTACGTACAAGTGGCGTGCCTTCAGTGCTTGGTTCTCGCTCAGGATTTATACAATTAGTAAGAGAACAAAAATGCTGGGATACATTGTGTTATACATCGACAAGCCTTGGCAGCAAAAACTCTTTCAATAAACTGAATGCTGTCTTAAAGTTGTGTATTAAAGTAGTGAATTACATAAAAAAAGTGCTTTAAATACTCGACTGTTTAAAACTCTTTGTGAAGATTTAGAGAGTAATCACAAAACACTGCTATTTCATACAGAAGTATGATGGCTCTGACAAGGAAACATGTTGGCAAGATTATTTGACCTTCGAGATGAAGTAATCACCTTCTTGGAACAGCAAAAGCAAAATGAACTAAGCGTGGCCTTCAAAAACATTGTACCCAGTACTATTGGCTTATTTGTCAGACATCTTTGATTCGTTAAATAGTCTTAACCTAAAACTGCAGGGTGGAGACTCAAATATAGTTATTCATCGTGATTGCAAATTGCAACTTGGAGGCGTAAAATATCAGCAAACCCCTGCAATTATCCGACTTTCCCTAAAGTAGAGTCAATCTCAGAAGAAACTCGCATCAGCGACATTTATGAAGGATCAAGTTTGAAAATCTAAATATCAAACCATTTAGAGAGCCTAATTGAAGAGTTCGAGAACTACTTTCCAAAGCTTATGAGGATAGTATTTTCAGAATGTTAATTGACCCATTCCATGTCAACATACTCCCTGCCTGAATCACTTCAAGAATATGATTTGCAAATAAAACATGATCCCTCTGCCAAATACAACTTTGATATAATGGACAAACATTAAATTTGGTTAAAATATTTCAAAACGTATCCTAGTGTATCACGCGAAGCTCTTCGTTTATATTTGCCTTTTTCAAGCACCTATTTGTGCGAAAAGCATTTTCAATACTTACGGCAATTAAAACAAAGTATCGGAATAAACTTGATGCTGCTAATGACTTGCGTTGTGCACTTACTAAAACTCAGCCACGAATAAGCATACTAGTAAATAAAATAAAAGCACATCCATCTCACTAACCAACCTAATATCTATTTCTTTTATTAATAATTTTTGTATTTTTAAAAACTGATATTGTTGATTCTTATGGCAGTATAAATAAATGTTTTGTTTTCTATGTAATACTTATTTGTTTTTGTTTTGTTCCTAGGCCCATACAATTTATTGTTAAGAGGTGGGGGGGCGCGAGAAACTTTCATTTCAACAAAAAGGGGCGTGGTACAAAAATGTTTGGGAACCCTTGATTTAGAGTCAAAAATATTACCAAAATGTACACCTATATCTATTATGTTTAAGGGCAATTACCTAGAAAGCACTCTAGACCAGGGAAGTAAGGATTTTCTTAAGACACTCTTTGATAAGATATGTCACAATTGCTTTTGATAATTTGGTGATAAAAATGTGTAATAAACAAAATATGCACAAGACTGGATGAACACCCTATGCATGCCTGAGTCTCTCTTGTTGACTAGGTCCTCTCTAAACTCTCACTTGACCTAGCTTCATCTGTGGATAACACAAAAGTCCATTCTTGTAACCGGCAGTGCACGTGTTGTTGTGTCCACCTTAGTCCATATGGCGTGCCAACCAGCTTCATGCAATCTATTCCTCAAAGTTTGGCCACATACAGTAATGTTGTGGGTATTTTCTAAGGTCCACAGAGTTCACGTGTACTTATATGCACATTTTTGCACATATCGATCATGTCGAGAAGTAGTTGGCTTTTGACGACCCCATGCCGTTCAGCGACATTGCCAAATTGTTCATATCGACGCCATAATGGATAAATCATGCTCCGAGACACGTGAGTGCGCAACATCAACTTGTGAAAGATCAGCCTCAATCATATTCACAGCACTTACAGTTTGAGCATGTGTTAAATTAATATTAACGCTCTATGACTATTAATACGTTTAATAATGTTGTTTTAATAAAACTTCAAAGTATATATAGAATATCTTTAAAATTTGAAGCACTTTTCTTTACAATTTGAATCAATCATACGAATTTGCGGCACTGTCACTTTTGCCTTAATAAAACAGTGCAATCGACAGATTAATTTTCATGGCATACCTTGATTTGTAGAGAACTAGTTTTCAACTCGAATGGTATACATTAACAAAAAAGTGTTTTAAGTTTTTATTGAAAAATAGTGGTGTTCCTTATGACATTTTTTATGTGTGTGTTGACTTGGCATAAATCAATTTTTGGGACTTGATCAAAAAAGACAGCTAACATTGGACTCAAATATGATCCACGGCAAATCTGAGGTGACCCTGCAGACCACGACCTTGAAATGTGACGATTTACAATGAAATTGTGCACCACAATATGCCTAAGCCGAAACAGTCAAGTGAAAGTTGCAAAAAGTTTCCGGTGAAGGCAAAAATGAGATTTCTAAGTTAAGTATTTTTTCCACGATCGATTCCCTAAATATGCGTATGAAATGCAACAACGTCATGACAACAAATCGACAGAACCACTTATAGTGACAGATTTTCAATTACTGCCATACTAAGACAGGAGAATCTGTAGAAAAGTATTTTTGTTGGCTTAGTTAAATAAAATTAAGATTCAAAAAGCCTGTTTGTAAATAGCCACGAAAAGTATTTGAAAGAACAGCAAAAATATGTTAGAATGGAACTAACTATACTTTAAAAACATTATTCTATATTTATAATTTTATTAATAAACTTACCTATTATCCTTTCCACCTCGTTGTAACTCTTCAAAAGATCCTGAGATAATTCCATTTGACATTCATAATATTCCACATCTTCGGGAGTAGAATATTTTAGCCACTGTTGAATTTCAACTTCTTTTTTGATATAATTTTCCAATTTTTTCATACCCTTTACTTTCTGTTCTCGTAAACTTTTATCTGATTCCCATGTATTGTGAATATGCGCCCAATCTTTCCATTTGATTAAATACTGATCTTCTGTACTTTGTAAATCCTTTTCGTCAACCCCCTCATTTGGGTCACCATTTTCTTCTACATAGTAAACCGTAGTAATATTTCCGGTAACTAAAAAAATCATATGTTACTGGTATTTTACTTAAAAATAAGATGTAAATATTGCTCACTGTCATAAAATAAGAAAACTATGATATCTGATATCATTTCTATTTAGCTCCAAGTATTATTCTATCAGAAAAAGTTCTTAAATAAAAGATTTGATAAAATTATAAAGCCTACGATTATTAATAATACGACATGGCGCAGTCAAACAAACGAAAAATAAAATCACATTTGTGTGTTAGAAGTCAAATAACCTTGGTGGGACATAAAAATACAAGATGAAGAAGAGACTACCAAATTGTATGAAATTTGAGGGTAATATAGCCGAATTTTTTAGAAAGTTTAAGCAAAACATGGAGAATTACTTGACTGCTTCTGAAAAGAACACAAAGCCATACCACAAAATGAAAGTTGGTGTACTTTTAAAGTTAATAGGCGAAGAAGTTGAGGTTATAAACACTTAGAAACTTACAGATGCACAGTTTTAAATGAACTAGAAGCATTCTGTACTATACCATACTAGATATACATGAAATGTTTCAAAGATTTTTTTTAAACTCGCATTCAGGAAGAGGAGAAAAGCCTTTGATCATTTTTATACAGATATTAAAAAATTAGCCCAGTCTGTGAATTTGGTCCGAATTAGATAAAGCTTTATGTGCAGATATATGTGACAGAATTTTCATGGGCATAAACAACAAAGAATTGAAAGAAAAATTATTCATTCTGAAGAAACTCACTTTAAAAGATGCTGTAGATATGTGTAAATTGTCAATTGTCAAAATTGCAACTGGCATTGTGTAGAACCTGTCATGGAGTAAGGCAGTGACCTGCATATGGCCGAAAATGCAAGAGGTGTTGGCGTTATGGACATTATGAAAGAATGTGTCGCAATATGTAAAATAGGTCTAGCACTAGTAATTCAAGAACAGTCAGAGAGTAGAAACGCAAAGGTAATAATAATAATAATAAATTAATAGCTTCCACTCGAAACCACCTAGATCAGGTGTTAAAAACTGCAGAAACTTTCTCAAATGATATCAGTATGCATTTTGGACTAGACAAGTGCCGTATACTAAATATGGTAAGAGGAAAGGTTCACTCCGGAGGTTTCGATATGCAAGATGGCCAAAACATCGAGACAATGGGTGAAAATGATATGTACAAATATCTCGGAGTAAAACAAGCGCCATGTAGAATCTTATGTGTACCTTGGCACCAACGTGAATGCAAAATGGGAACAGGCCACAGAAATTAAGACGAGAATAGAACGAGCTGGAGCAGCATTTAGCAATATGAAAAAGCTCCTCATAAGCAAGGATTTGTCTCTTCCCCTAAAACTACGCCTAGTTAAATGCTACATTTTTCTGATCTTACTATATGGGGTGGAGGCCTGGACGCTGACGGAGACGCTCACGAGAAAACTAGAAGCATTCGAAATGTGGGTGTACCGACGCATTCTTCGTATATCCTGGACCGAACATGTCACCAACATAGAGGTACTCCAAAGAATCGGAAAGGAGAAAGAAATCGTGAATACAATTAAACAAAGAAAGCTTGAATATCTAGGCCACATATTGAGACACGATAAGTACCGTTTGCTGCAATTGATTGTCCCGTGGAAAAATAGACAGTAAGCGAGGGCCAGCCAGGAGAAGACACTCGTGGCTCCAAATTCTGCGGAAGTGGTTCGGGCTCACATCGGTCGAACTATTCAGAAGCGCCGCAAACAAGATCAGAATTGTCATGTTAATAGCCAACGTTCACAACGGACAGGGCACTTGAAGAAGAAGAAAAAAGCGCGGAAGATTGACCATAAACAAATGAAAACTGAACTAACTTCGGAGTTCAAGAGAAGACTACTACATTGGTAGTCCAGAACAACTAAATCGATCATATCTTAATAGTAAAATTTTTTTAAGGCATTAAATACGTACGCCTGTTCCGTGCTGAGCTACTCATTTGGTATTATAAAGTGGTCAAAAACGGATATAGAGGGTCTTCAGCTAAAAGTAAGAACAATTCTCATAAAGGCGCAAAAACATCATCCACGCAGTGCAGTATAGAGAACAACATTACCGCGGTATCAAGTGGGACTTATAGATATAGGCGAGCAATTGGATAAACAAATTGCTAATTTAAGAACTTATTTTCAGGTACAAACTTTACATCGAGCAATTTGCGCAGTACTCAGCAGTACCTGACTCAGCAAGAAAAAATGCGCACCTGGAAGGGCAAACCTTTGCATGGGCGACATCTCAATGAGATCAGCCAACAATACAGCGTCGAACTATTGATTGACATCAGAAAAGATGTTTCCCAATACTTAGTGTTTCCTACTCACTATTCAGGATCAGGTTATTCCAACTAAAAATTACCTGAAAATCCTGATATTGTTAAAGATCCTTAAGTCCAAAATGACAAATGCCGATATGGATGCCAATCCCAAGAAACCATCCAACATCTTACCGGTGGCTGCCAGGCGTTTGTCGGTACTAATTATAAAGAACGACATGACTCAGTAGGAAAGAATATTCACCAAGAACTAGCTCAGAAAATTGGGACTTCTCCAAACCGACCATCATCCTTATTATCAATATGTCCCTGACAGAATGCTTGAAAATTACAACTACAAGCTATATTGAACCGCACTGTGCGTACAGACCAACCAGTGGCACATAATAGACAAACGACACTTATTGATGTGGCGATACCCAACACCAATAATTTACGTGTTAAATACAATGAAATGTTCGCCAAGTACAGAGATCTAGAAATTCAAATCAGGCGACAATGGAGAATGAAAAGTACCCAAACAGTACCTATTATTCTATCTACTACTGGTGTTATACCCAAAAACCTCCTGGAGAATATAAAACAGCTGGGTCTAAATGAACATCTCTATAAGGCCATGCAGAAAGCTGTACTCCTCGCGACGTCCAGATGTATACGAACATTTTAGGGAAATACTCAACATACCAAGTCACCTAGGGCTCGATAACGCGGAAAGAGTCCCACCAGAGCTCAATCCTTTTGATCTGGGTATCTGGGACTTAGGTATCTGGGATGAGTGAATTTTCCCCTAGAGGGAGTGTGACCCGTATGGCTAAATCTGGGATATTAACAATATGAATGCAGATTCATGTTGCATACATGGTATGGTGCTTGACAATATGGTGCAATAATATCTATTAATGAAATTAAGAATGGTAAAAAATGGGTGTAAGCTAATAAAGTAGGAGGTGAAAATGTTGACTTTAAAGTAGACACAGGGCCACAGGTTAATATTTTACCTGAGCATATGTTGCATAGAAAATTGTAAACAATTTGGAAGCATGGAGGATTCAAAATTGTTCTGCTGGGTATTGTACATTTAAATTGTTCATTCAAGAATATCATTCATAGTCTCAAATTTGTTGTGGAACGGAATAAAAGCTCAACAATATTGGGTCTTTCATCATATTTAGATTTAAAAATTTTATCCAAAATTGATAATATAACAAATGAGATAGAATGGAATTTCGTTGAAAATAATACTGATGTGTTTTCAGAATTAGGTACATTTAAAAAATGTAACTTTAACTAAAAAAATATGTTGTACCAGTGGCTCAGAGCTGTGATTTCTGCATTTGAAGGGCGTACAGAATGGTTGAGCAGTCGGATAGTTGTTGAAAAAAGTGGTAAGTTACTAAGGTTGTGCTTAGATTCAAAATTTTTAAATTTACCATTAAAAAATTAGTACTCCGCTACATCAGCCATTGTGTGATTTTGAATTCCAGAATTTTCTCAAAAATTAAATCAAGAAAATGTTGGTAATTTCCCAGGGTGCTTAGTTTACTTTGATGATTTGTTGGTTTTTGGAAAACACGAGCAACATGATAAGTATTTAAAAAGTAAATTTAAGATCCAGCATAGGGTTAATAAAGTAAGATTTGAGGAATATATTTGGAATAGAAGGAATGAGGCCTGACAAAGATAAAATTTGAAGAATAAAAAACTTATATAAAGAAAAATAAAGGGAAATTAGGGAACTTGGGGGTAATTGTACCGAATGCATTACACAATGAGATGCTCTCACTGTTCCATAAGAATCATTTCGGAATTACTAAAATTCAAAATCGTAAAAATAACTTATTTTATATTGACCTCAAATAAACACTGATTTAAAAATTTTATTAAGAAATGTATAACTTGTAAGAGATTTTTGTGAGGTTCCTCTCCAAGCAGTAACTTTTGATTTTTTAGATTACGGTGGTAAACCTTACTTTGTTTTGATGGACTATTTTTCGAAACTGAAGGTAATTAAACTAAACAGTAGTGAAATGTTTTAAATGAATATTCTTCAGGCTTGGAATCCCATTCGGGGTAGTTTCAGATAATATGCCTTATGATTCACTAATGTGTAGAAATTTAGAACTAGAACTAGACTAGAATTTTGAATTTTACACCTCCAGTCCGCGATACTTTCGGTCAAATGAGCTGGCAGAAAGGACAGTACAAATATCGAAAAATATGTTATCATACAGAGGTTACAAAGCAAAAGATTAGGAAAAAAGATTCCAATCAAGAAAAAACTGTTGGAGCCAATGAATATTGGAGAACAGAGTACCGATCGACGTCGAGCTGAAATGAATTTCAGAATAACGGTAATGTAATAATAAGAGACGGATCATCCTAGTTGATGTTGCCTACTATGAACTAGGGGCAGTTGAATATTCCCCTTGATCATAGCAGAAAAAGGAAATATGGAGCGAAAGAACAGTGTAAAAGCATGTTTAAAATACTCAAGAAATGAAGTCAGCGAAAATATGGCATAACTGGTAGATTATAAAAGTTCTTAAATAAAAGATTACCTCCAATTTTTCCTCTTCTCGTCGACAAAATTTTTTCGATTGTTTCACATTTTTCTTCCGGAACAGGATCAACCGGTTCACTATTTTCAACTTCTAACAAATCCTCGGAATCAGTTTTTTCATCTTCACTTTCTTCTTTATAACTAACGGTAGTAGCCTTCCTTCTGGACACAGCTCTCCTACTATCCTCGTCGCTTTCATCGCTAGTTTCATCTTCTGAACTATATTGGCTTCTTTTCTTGGATTTTTTCTTGTTTATCACAGTCGTTCGCGCTCTAGAACCTACACGTTTACTAGGCGGGGGGCGCTCTTTTTGTTCTGGTTCAGACTCTGACGAACTTGCGTCATTATATTTCCAATCTTCACTTTTACTACTTCCTTTATCACTTGAACCTCTATCACTGTCTTTACTCTGAAGTCTTTCCGGCTCTCTTCGCGACCTAACTGATCGCCTGATGCTAGAGGGATCCGAACTCCTATCAGACTGAAATAAAAAGAGTATAATGTTTTGTCATATATCGTAACGTGTAATAAAAATTATGTTTTGTGAAAATACTGCTAACATATGACTACATAACAGTTTTAAAACTCTCGCTGAGTAGGGCTGATAAAAAAGATTACTGAGTTTGGTACAAAGGTTTAGCAAACAAGTTCTGAATTCAAAATTGAAGAACTTACACTTAAATCTTTGGTAGTATCGAATTTACTCGAACTATCTGGACTAGCAGGAAGTATAGAGTTTGAATCTTGGCTACACCCATTACTTTCTTCAAGTACTTCTTCTCCGTCACTTTTACTACTACTTTTATTAGCCGATCCATTTTCTACAGTTTCTTCTCCCGTATCAGAACCATCTGAAGAAGAACTCCCAGAACCGCTAAAAAGAAAAAAACTTTTACAATTGCAATTCTCTGACAGATTCTAAGAATAAAAATGACCTGACAATTTTACAAGTTTTCCTTAAAACTATCAAATGGAGGTGTAATTTGTGATTAGGTCAGTTGTACACACACAGAGAAATGATTTATTATTTACTTCCAAGGCATTCCAAAACACTATTTGCATATGATCCTGTGACTTTTCAATATTATGCCGAGTAGGTTTCGTGAAATGAGCAACTACAACTCTTTGAAAAAAGAAATATATGAAATAATTTTATGTATTGAACCTTATAGTATGGATGAATTATGAGTACACGTCACTCCGTAGCTCTTACAATCATATGATACTATTCCATTTCATAATTTTGTTATTAAGTAGGTTGTGATATTCTATTCTAACTTGTATTTATAATGACCTACTTTTGTGCCTTTTGTAATTATATTTTCATTATAATTCGCATTGTAAAACTGAAATCCTCAAAATTTAATTTATAATTGGAATGTATTATTTTTTCATCTATCAAAAATTCCTCTTATTAGTTTCCTCATTAGCTCTTTCGAAAAGACATCAGTTTTTTTTTGAGATTTCTCACTGTTACAGTGAATACATCGTTACTTTCTAATGAATACGATAAATTGAATATTAGATTCATCCAATCTGTTTCATTCACATTTTGAAACACCATCAGTAGTAATTATTTGGGAAACTATGGATAAATTCTCAAGAGCTTCGTAAACGCTAACTTTATTAGTACGTAACGTATTTGTTATTCCGAAAATCTAATTCAATTTTAGGTCACGAGTCATAATGAATTTTCCTATTTGTTTTCGACATTGTTCTGAAGCTATTTTCTTGTGGCATTTTAAAGTAATTACTATTTAACTCGTAATAAGCCACAATTAAAGGTTAAAATACTCTTATTGAAGTTTTAATTTCCACTTCGGAAATCGTTCTCAAAATACAAACATTAGTAAATTGCTAATTAGCACTTACATTGACAGACTATTGCGAGAGTTCTTGACGAGGAGAAAAACTTCCTGGCGAAACTGTTCTCCATTGAAGAACTGCAAACATGACACTCGAAAGAAAACAAATTTATGGGGTAGGATTATTTAAAGAGAAACGTGTTCACTGGTTACTCTGTGTCCTTCCTCCACATAGATAGAGGCGCTGTTTATTAAAATCAAATTGTGTTCGCTATGGATTGTTTTAGTCATATCACATATCATTTTACATTCTCAGATATATGCAATAAACAGTGTCGTAGCGATAGTGAAGTTTTGCATACTTGTATTTTGTTTGTGATAGTCAGTTGGTGCAGGTAGACAAATAGGTAAGTAATTAGCACTCTAATATAGCTATACACAATTAGATATAATTATATGGATATATGTAATTAAGATATTTATTTTAGTTTTAAATTACTAGCTTGGTATCGTCGCTTTTTGGCAACCGTTTGAATGGCATGAGAATATGGGTAACTCACCAGACTTACCCATTTTACAGTTTTATTAAAGCTGTGGATATACTTAACTGATCATTGTGATAACCTTCAAATTGTGGAATAACATTTGAAAACATTGATCAGGTCGATAGAAAAATTATTTGCCTATTTTTATATGAATCTTGTCGAGACAAAGTTCTAACATTCGAAATGGTTTTTAATTTCTCGTGAATATCTCAATATTGTGAGAGATAACTATTATAGTTATAGTTCAGTTACAGTTACAGTTACAGTTCTATAAAAATGTATAATATCACATAAGCCTCGTAAGTCAGTTGGTCGAGTTACCATGGAAACGAATTAACAGACGTTATTTTGACAGATTAAAAATTATTAATCTGTCAGTGTAAATATATTGGTAATTTAATTTTTATTTTTATAAACGAAAATAATCGTAGAAAAAGTATAGTACACAACTTGAGTTGTAAGCTTATTACATGCTTGTAAAATTACTGCGCTCGCCGCTACGCGGCTCGCGCGCAACTTTTTTACTCGCATGTAATAAGCTTCTTACAACTCTCGTTATGTAATATACTATTTTCTACTCTCTTACTAGTAATTTGTATATTACCTACTATTTGGATGCTAAGTAAATACATCAAAACATATACTGACACGTAATGACTAGCACGTAATAAAAACAATTACGCTTCAGTTCTATAAAAATGTATAATATCACATAAGCCTTGTAAGTCAGTTGGTCGAGTTACCATGGAAACGAATTAACAGACGTTTTTTTACAGATTAAAAATTATTAATCTGTCAGTGGAAATAGACAGATAATTTAAATACAAATAAATAAAATACACCACTCAATATTATGCAGTTAACTGCGAACACTACCGAGAACCTATTACCAAAAAAATCTAGAGAGGAAGATATGAAAAGGTATATCAGCAATTTATGGATTGGCGTACAACAAATAATGTAAATTCATTTTCCGAAAACGTAATCTTGGCTTATTTTGGAGAAATCGAGAAATTTAAACCATCCTCGTTATGGGCAATATATTCTATGCTAAGAAGAGTTATAACTTTAAAAAATAATGTTAAGATTGAAAATTACCCGAAATTGCGAGCTTATCTAAAAAGGCAATCAGAAGAAGGTTTTAAAAACAAAAAATCTAAAATTTTACATCCTGATGAAATAAAACTTTTTTTAAATGGAGCTCCTCATGTGCATTACTTGTTAATAAAGGTATGTTATTTAAAAGTATAACATAAATGTGCCTACTGATAATACTTTCATTTTAAGGTTATTGCACTTATTGGAATATGTGGAACTTGTAGGAAACTGGAGTTAAAAAATCTTAAAATTTGTGACATTGATGATTTAAGTACCATGTTATTGGTATTAATTATATGGTATTGGATTAAACAAAATAGGCGGTGTTCCTTAACAAATAGCCGAATATTTAAAGTTACCAGATCCCAAAATGTACACAGGTCACTGTTTAAGATGAACTTCTGCCACTATTTTGGTAGATGCTGGTGGTGATTTAATGGCTCTTAAATGACATGGAGGATGGAAATCTTCAACAACGGCCGAAGGATATGTCGATGAGTCAATAAATAGTAAAACGTCAACAGCCAATAGAATTATAAATTCAACTGGTAATTTACAGACCTTTACATACACTGAAAATACCAATGTTCAAAAAGAACACACCGTACAGTTTACGTCATCTCACCACGTATTATTGAACAACCGCCAAACTCTGATAAGGGTATAGTTATAAATAATTGCCAAAATTTTACAATTAATTATTATAAACAAATGTTTAATTTAAATTGTTCCCGAATTTTGTTAAATAAATAAAAGTTACTTGTTATACTTTTTATTTTTATAAATGAAAATAATCGTAGAAAAAGTATAAGGTGAAGTGAGATAAATGTGATCTACTTTTTGATTAGTTCAACTTTCATTTAATATAACACTATAAAGAAACGTTTCAAAAATTTATCAAAAAAATCATATACTTTTTGCACGATTTTGTATTCATTGTGTAGAAAAAAATTAAATAATCTTTAGTGTTGCATGATGTTTTTTAAAATCATATCGATATATCACATTTACCGCAGGGACCGGGGCAAATGTGAAGAAAGTTTACATTTTTGTAGTAAATATTATATTTGATAGTCTGGGGTTATTGTATAAAAATGTAATTCAGTAATTCTCTACTTGTGTTTTTTTAGAATTTATTTTGTTGAAAAAATACAAAAGAATTTAAACTTTTCGAAAACAATGCCAGGACAAAGGAAACAAAAATATAATAAAATTAAATAAACACTCCAAGTTTTCTTTCAGTTAATGTTGAATGTTAACCCTTTAAACGTTGAACCCTTTAAAGGTAACTGGAAATTCTACATTCCACGTCTGTCGACGATAGGATCTGGTAGTACATTTATAATACACATCCTGTTGTAGTACAGTATCAATGTCAGGATTTATTGGCAGTACAAATTTGTTTACTTGAGGTCGTGTAAATTTAACTAGCCACTCATCATTCATATGTTCTGATACAATTCCCACATAATGCTTATTTTTCTTTTTTGGGCAATGTTTTACCAATACCCGACATCTGACATACATTCACACTTTTTGTTGAATTCAATTTCTCTTTGTCTTCCTCGTAATCATTTGCAGCTATTTCTACCTCTGGCTCTAATTCCAAAAGTGTCTCCAGAAACTCGTCGGTGTTATCAGAATCCCCGAATATTGGAAACGTGACTCATCGTCTTCGCTGCTGCTAAATGATAATGACCCTCGTTTATTTCTTTTTTGGGCTTTGTCTTAGTTATCTTACTTATGAATTTTAGAACAGTTTCCTTTTTGTTGAGATTTCTGTTTTAAAACATCAATAGCTTGTTGTGATATCAATACTTCACATCCAGGATAACCGTTTCTTATTTTTGGTTGGTGCGTTTGGAAGTTGTTTTACTGTTGATAACAATAAATCTTCAAATGTTACATTCTTATTTTCAGTTAAACTTGTACATGAAATTGATTCAAGTTCGTCGACTCTGGCACAGATATTTTTTACTTTGTCGGAAGTGGTATTTTCGATTAGAGCATCAGGCGTAGGTTCTTTGTTTTGATAAAATACTTCTTTAGTTACTTTAGTTGGTACCAATACTTCATTACCATTTTCGTATATAGTAAATCTGGAATGATTTATCATCTTCCACTTTTAAGCAAGCAGGGTGAAAATGATGTTTCAGGGTTGACGTGACGATTAAACGGAATAAATCCGCATTTTTAAAGCCGTTGATAATTACTTCGGAGCTCACCTATTTCCAAGTTGTACACAAAAATTTGGAAAATATTTGTTTTGGTAATTTTTGGACCTACATGCTGCCGCTGCCGGGCAACAAGTTTTTCATCTCATTTAACTTTAAAGGATTTAAAAACAGCCAGGTCTAGTGGCCGTAAAATGTGGCTGAAATGGGGTGGCAGTATTAGAATTATATGTTCTCGCATAGCGGCTTCTA